CTCAGGGATGAAACACAGACAGGTTACCAGGTCACTGTACATACAGGATTGCTTATTTGGGAGATCTAAATGGCACTTTCAGTGCTTTCACTAACTGTCAAAATTCGATTGTGTTCCCCTCTCGACGGTGGGTCAACAGCGCCAAACAAACTGCATAGAAGATTTCAGGCTCCCGCCCTCCTTCAAGCTCTTAGCCAGAGATATTCATTGCTTGTATCTTCAAAATTTCTGAAATATTTAGGCATGCTGGGGAATTAGATTGCCCAAATAAAATTTAAAAAATAGTGTTACCTTGGAATCTGTAGGAAGTAAATTTGTATAAAATCTGCTATCATCCGTGTGCAGTTGCGCACTGTTTAAAGGTCGCAATCCACCCTGCAAACGCACAGCAGCTAAGTAGCCGGATCAGAAACTTCAGAAAAAGCTACAAAATCGAAATCAAATTAATACATGCTTGTATCCTTAAAACACTGCCATTCAGTAATCATATGCATCACTCTATCAAAAAAAAAAAGATGGGCAGAGATCCTCCTGAACAGGAACACTGAATTCAGTACGATACTGCGTCAAGCATGAAAATGAGGGGATTTTTGGAGGCCGCAACAAATAAAAAAGCTCACTGACAAGAGGCAAAATCAGAATTTAGGAATGTTCTAACCAATGCTGCTGTACACGACATGCCGACCATTGTCCCAGTATTGGGAGGATTTGTCGTCAACAGCGACGCATCAGCAAATGGAGAAGCAGCTGCAAACATAGCAGCAGCTTCACGATTCATAAATAAATGTCCTGCACAGGAACGATCAGCTTGCGTTCCAAGAGCTGCAAATGTAACAACAAGTTACACACTGCATAAATCCTTTCCAACGCTCGGCCCACCTCTTTCAGGACAGCATTTATAATGACAAGTGTCGACCATTCAAAGACCAAATCAGAAGTGGACGGTCCAAGTGGGGTGGTTGAAGTGGGTTAAATAGATTAAAAAAAATTTTTTTGCGGCCGCTGGTAGACCGAACTATAATTTCTGAAGTGACGGACAGTATGAATAGTGGAAAATACGGAACGGTCGA